CAGGAAAGATGGGCTGTATGGAGAAGTCAGTAGAAGAGTTGGGGAAACATGAACTTCCTGTGGCTCTCATGAGGGGGTGCTGGGGGTAGCTCACTTTGTGAAGTACTTGCCTTTTAAGTATGGATCTGAATTTGATCCCCAGCACCCATGTTAAAAAGCCTGGCCTGATGGCACGTGCTTGTCATCACAGAGCTGGAGAATCAGACGAGGGGATCCCTGGGGCTCACTGGCCACAGTCTAGCCCTGTCATTGAGTTCCAGGTACCAGTGAGAAACCTTGTCTCAAAAAACAAAAACAAAAACAAGGTGAGCCAGGCTGTGGTGGCACATGCCTTTAATCCCAGCACTCTGGGAGGCGGAGGCAAGTGGATCTCCATGAGGCCAGCCTGGTCTACAGAGTTAGTTCCAGGACAGCCAGGGCTACAAGACAGAGAAATCCTGTCTTGAAAAACAAAAAAACCAAGATAAAAAAACCCCACAGTGGATAAATGTCATCTTGAAAATGACACCAGATGTTAACCTCTGGTCCCCTTCTAAGTATCACGCACACATAGACACACAGACACACACCACATACCACACAGACAGAGAGAGAGAGAGAGGGAGAGAGAGAGCGAGAGAGACTGACCTCCTGAGGGTCCCGTGGTAAGAGATTAAACACAGGAAGTGCTAGAAGTCCGCATGTTTAGTCAGGGAAGTCCCAGTGTAGCCTGTGTTTCATTCCCAGTGCTTTTTTTTTTTTTTTTTTTTGGCTTGATTTTTCAAGACAGAGTTTCTCTGTGTAGTCCTGGCTGTCCTGGAACTCACTCTGTAGACCAGGCTGGCCTTACAGAGATCCACCTGCGTCTGCCTCCTGAGTGCTGAGATCAAAGGCATGCACCATCCCCACCCCCACCCCCCACCCCTGCACAGTCCTATTACTTTTGGGTGAAATCTCCACTTGGTGAAACTGACCCTCTGGGAGGAAGTAGAACAAACTGCCTGATGGAGAGCCAAGGTGCTGGGTGGGGGTGGAGTGATGGAAACCCTGGGAGGGGCAGAATCAAGAGCTTGTCTGACGTAGACTGAGGGATGCTTTAGAAATATTTATTATTGCTGGGTGGTGGTGGTGCACACCATTAATCCCAGCACTCAGGAGGCAGAGGCAGGTGGATCTCTGTGAGTTCAAGGCCAGCCTGGGCTACAAAGTAAGTTCCAGGACAGCCAGGGCTACACAGGGAAGCCCTGTCTTGAAAAACAAAACAAAAAGCATCATCATCATCATCATCATCATCATCATCATCACCAGGGCTACACAGGGAAGCCCTGTCTTGAAAAACAAAACAAAAAGCATCATCATCATCATCATCATCATCATCATCATCATCACCAGGGCTACACAGGGAAGCCCTGTCTTGAAAAACAAAACAACAGAAAAATCATCATCATCATCATCTTCATCATCACCATCATCATCATCATCTTCATCATCACCACCATCATCATCACCATCATCATCATCATCGTGTGTGCGCACACACACACATGTGCCGTGATGCATGAGTGGAGAAGTCAGAGAACAACTTTTGAGATTCCGTTCTCCCCTCTCGCTGTGGGTTCTGGTGGTCACACTCAAGCCATGAGGCTTGCATGGCAAATCCTTTCACTGGCTGAGCCACTTTGTCAGCCAAGGAGGATGCTTTGGTGGGGACCGCGACACTGTCTGATGCCGCCCGTGACTCCGCATCACTGGTTCTCTCTCTTCCCTGGTGGTTCTGTGGCCTTTGAGACTCTAGTGCCACAGTCCGCAGCAGCACTGGCATGTTTGGTGGATGTCCCTTCATGTGGTCCCCGTAAGCATGTACTCCGCATCCTTCATTTCCCCCGGGGCTTACCAAGGCAGGTTCTGTCCACACCACTGGGTTTTGCCCATGTGCTGCGGACATCAGACTCGAAGTTCTGGACATGGGATAACCTGTAAAGATGCCGGGCTGAGATTTGGTGGGGCTGGACTGCTTAAGCACTCTGCAGTGTGGCCATCCTGAAGTGGAAGGAGGAAGCTGGAGGAAGGGAGATGATGGAGATGATGGAGATGCTGGAGATTGGTGGAGGAAGACCCAGCAGTGGGGGAGACTCGGGGAACATGAGAAAGTGGGAGGTGCTCTATGCCCTGAGCTGGGGAGGCAGGAGGACTGACAGGGGAGTCAGTTTTTGCTGAGTGTTTGCTGAGTGTGTCTGTAATCCCAGAACACGGGAGGCTGAGGCAGGAGGATTGAAATAAATCTGAAGCCAGCCTGGACTACACTGTAAACTCAAGACTAGCCTGGGCTGTGTAGCAAGACCCCATCTCAAAACAAACAAACAAACAAACAAAACAAAACAAACCGAGCTGGAGAGATGGTTCAGTGGTTAAGAGCACTGGCTGCTCTTCCAGAGGACCCCGGTTTGATTCTCAGCGCTCATACAGTGGCTCACAACCATTTGTAACTCCAGTTCTGGGGGAATACAATGGCCTCCTTCTGGCCGCCACAGGCATCAGGAATGCAAGCAGTCCACAGACATACATGCAGATGAAACACCCATACATGTTTAGGACAGAGATAATGTGTGTGGGAGGGGTTCAGGATGCTGAAGCTATAGAAGTGGAAGGGGAGATGGAAGAGATGAGGACCAGCTGCCAGAAGGGAGGGAGAAGTGGGTACAGGCAGGCCCCTGTGACTTCCCATCCTCTAGAGCGAGATTCTATCTAGCTGGGCTCTGTGACCATATATGGAACAGAACAGGCAGCCAGGAGCATCCTGGGTGTGAACTGCAGGGCAGAAGTCATGTTTCATCTCTCAGAGTTCAATGGCCAGGACAGAGTCATGCCTGGGTTGGCCTTGAACTCACTGTTATGTAGGAGGATGGTCTTGAACTGGTCCCCCTGTCCCTGCCTCTCTTGTGGTGATGTTCACACTATGTTTGGTTTTTGCGGTGCTGGAACTCTAACCCGGGGTTTTATGCGTGCTGAACAAGCACTCTGCCGCCTGAGCTACATCTCCAGCCAGGGTTTTCTGCCCCTGGGTGCCACACACGGGGTTACACCGAACTGCATGCCTAACTCAAAAGGGCAGGAAGCATGTCATTTGGTGTCTGGCACTTACCACGAATGCCAGTGCTTGCATGGCCTACTTGAATGCAGCTGTCTTATTTTTGTCCCCAGTGAGCTCCTCTAGGGCTGGCAGAGTGGGCATGCATCACTGACCCAACAGTGCCTACCAGCCTGGAAATGCTCCCTGGGGGGCATTGCTGCTTCTCTGGCCACTCTGCCCTCTTTGGTGTTCACACACACACACACACACACACACACACACACACACACACAATTACAGTGCAGACTATGACCGTCCACTGGTGCATACACGAGGTATCCACACACGCTGCTCCGGTCAGAGCTGTTCCTGAAAGCCTTTCCAGGCCCAGGGTGGGCCCTGCAGCCACAGTGTGTGGTACAACCAGAGTCAGCTCAGTAGTTTCCCTGGTGTCATTGGTCCTAGGTCTTTTTTTTTTTTTTTTTGTCTGATCTCTCTCTCCCTTTCTTCCTTAGACAGTGTCTAAAGAACTCATTATAGGTGCTGGAGAGGTGGCTCAGTGGCTAAGAGCATCACCTGCTCTTCCAGAGGTCCTGAGTTCAACTCCCAGCAACCACATGGTGGCTCACAACTATCTCTAGTGGAATCTGATGCCCTCTTCTGGCATAAAGTTGTACATGCAGATAGAGCATTCATCTACATAAATAAATAATAAAAATCTTAAAAAAAAAAACTCATTATATAGCCAAAGATGACCTTGATATTCCTGCTTCTTCTCCTGAATGCCAGGGCTACAGATGTGCATAACTACTCTGGAGTTACACAGTGCTGGGGAGCAAACCCGGGCTTCCTGTGTGCTCGTAAGTGCTCTACCAGCTGAGCTACAGCCCCACCTCACCTTGAACTCCTAATCCTCCTGCTTCACCTCCCTGGAAGTGCTGGAGTTATAGATGTGTGTCACCAATTCTTGGCTTCACTGCTCCTAATTAGTCCATGACAGATTTTGGCCCAGACTGCCCTTAAAACAGTTGCCTACCTTTGTCTGAGGTAAGGTAACGCAGACAGTGCATGCTGGAATCATCACCAAGTTTGACAGCTCTCCAGGACGGCTCCATGTCATTTCATGGAAACCAAGGCTCCAGTGTTAATTAGGCACCCAAAGGTTTCCCTGGAGGAGCAGCGTCTCCCCGGAAGACAGAGCCCCCGGGTCCTTTCCAGACCGAACTGCAGAGCTGGAGAGAGGAGTGTCATGCTTTCCCGGTCTCCTGGAGCGTGTGCCACAGTCCAGCTGGAGCACAGGGCCTGTCTCTTGGCTCCAACGAGGCCACCAAGGGCTTGAAACCTGGGATGGTTATGGGCACCCCGCCCCGCAGCATAGTTAATACTTGCAGAGCACACAAAGGTAACTTTAGGTGTGATATCAGGGGCTAGGAACCCCCCGACCTCCAGGCCTCCAGAGGCTCCCAAGGAAAACAACCGTGAAAGATGTCTGTTAACGTGACAGGCGATGGGAGATGGTGGTAACACACATCTCAGTGCACAGGGACCTGCGTGTGTGTGTGTGTGTGTGTGTGTGTGTGTGTGTGTGTGTGTCTCAGTCTCTACCCATTATTCTCCTGCTTCCACTACATGAGTGTTGGGATTACAAGGGTGCACCCCAGACCCCTCTTCAGCAGCCCCATTTAAAACAGGTTATTTTTTAAATTTACTTATTTATTTAGGCTTTTTGAGACAGGGTTTCTCTGTGTAGTCATGGCTGTCCTGGAACTCACTCTGTAGCCCAGGCTGGCCTCAAACTCACAGAGATCCACCTGTCTCTGCCTCCGAAGTGCAGGGATTAAAGGTGTGGGCCACCATTGCCCAATTTACTTAATTCCATTTTTTAACATAATTTTTTTATTGATTCTTTGGGAATTTCATATCATGCACCCCATCCCCACTCTTCCCAGTCCCTCCATATCCACCTTTCACCCTTGTAGCATTCCCCCAAAAGAAAAAAAAATTAACAAAACAAAAACTACTTCGCTCCTCCGTCTTTCCTGCCTCTCCCTCTTCATTTGTCTTAGTGACATTGGGAGCTGCCGTGTATCACGCAGTAGACCCTTTTGTTCAAACAGCTTTACTTGTAAATGTTCATTGTGTAATGAGTTGTTGGACTGGTTCAAGGCCTCTGGCTTCTGGTACACCATCGTCACTGGACCCTCACCAACCCTCTGGGATATCCTGCTATTGCCCTGAGCCTTGGAGATCCTGCAGCTACAGTCCCAAAGGACCAGACCCTTTATGTTCCACCAGGTCATAGATGTGGGCCTGGGTGATAGCTGAGTTGGTCAGGGCCAGCTCTCCCATGCCCATGCCTTTGGGGTCAGTTCAACCACGCCAGTGGTGAAGGGTGGGGCTGGGTCTCCAGCTGCAGCAGCTAGTGAGGAGCAGGGCCAGAGCTCAGCATATGGCCCTTGGATTTCAACATGCTTGGTTCACATGGTCCCTGATGGTCACGTGGCCCCAACAGTCAAATAGCCCTCGACACCAACATGGCTAAGGCCTGAGCATCTCTGTGGCCTTTGGTGGCGATGCGGGCCATGGATATCAACACAGACCCTGGCTCTGGTAGGATCATGGATACAGACATGGTCTTTAGCAGCAGCTCAGGCCTGTAAGTCACCATGGATGGCCCTTGGTGGCAGTACAGGCCACTCAGATCAGCACAGCCCTCAGGCAGCAACATGGCCCCAGGTGGTGGTCCAGTCCCCGGGCATCTGAAGGGCCTTCAGTGGCAACAGGAGCCACAGACACCAACACAGACCCCAGTCTTGGCAGTACCATGGACCCAGGCATAGCCCTCAACAGCTTGGGCTCAGACGACACCATGGCCCCAAGTGGCAGAGCAGGCCACCCAGATCTGCATGATCTCAGTGGCCACACAGCCCTCAGACACCAACACAGCCACAGATGATAGCCCAGACCCCGGGCATCTGTGTGGCCTTTGGTGGCAACATGGGCCATGGACATCACAGATACCGGTAGCTATGGGACTATGGACCAGACATGGTCCTTGGCAGCTACCTGAGTCCGGATGTCACCATGGCCCCGGGTGGCAGTGCAGGCCACCCATGGCAACCTGTGCCTCCCCCGCTTGGCTTCTCCAGTTCCATGTCTCTCCACGGCACACGAACGGCCCAGCTTCTGCTGCTCTCCCATTTCTCCACCACAGATTCGCTCTCTGTAATGGTGTCCACTCCGAGGTGCCAGACGGGCCTGTGGGTGTCTTCCACCCACCAGGGCCGAGCCGCACAGGGCTTACTTCATTCCTGTAGTTATAGGAAAGCTGTATGTAGGCATATAAAAAGCCCTGGACTGTGGCCCCCAAACTTTGAGTAGCAGGAATCCCTTAGGGAAAGGAGGGCCTGGTCTTAGATAAGATAGTCCTATCAACTTTGTCTGTGTCTGTCTTTATATGTCTTTGTGTGGATCTAGAGACGGGACACAGGGTCTTGCACAGTCTAGGCAAATTCTCTACCACTTCCAAGTCTTTATTTTTTAATGTAATTTTAATTTTTAAAAACAAGCTCTCCCTATATAGCTCTGGCTGGCCTAGAACTCACTGTGTAGACTAGTCTGACCTCCAGCTCACACAGAGAGATCTGCCTGCCTCTGCCTCCCGAGTGCTGGGAGTGCACCACCATGTTCCACTAAATCTTGTGGTTCGTTTGTTTATTTTATTTTATTTTATTTTATTTTGGAGACAGGGTCTCACGGTGTAGCTCTGGCTATTCTAGAACAGCTGTGTAGACCTGCCTCTGCTTCCTGACTGCAGAATTCCATGTCTGGCCTCTTGTCTCATTTTTTATTTTTGTTTTAAAAAAATGATTTATTTGTGCCATGCAGTGGTGGCACACACCTTTAGTCCCAGCACTCAGGAGGCAGAGGCAGTCAGATTTCTTTGAGTTTGAGGCCAGCCCGGTCTACAGAGTGAGTTCCAGGACAGCCAGGGGAACACAGAGAAACCCTGTCTTGAACTGCCCCCTCCCCCAAACCCCTCAATATATATATTGGCACACACACACACACACACACACACACACACACACACACACTGTTGTTTTGCCTGGATGTATGTCTGTGTGAAGGCATCAGATCCCCATGAACTGGAATTACAGACAGTTGTGAGCTGCCATGTGGGTGCTAGGAATTGAACCTGGGTCTTCTGGAAGAGCAGCCATTGCTTTTAACCACTGAGCCATCCCTGCAGCCCCTGCTTTGTTTTTAAAATTACTGTACTTATTCATTAGTGTGGGGCCGAGATGCATAGACCATGGCATGTGGGTGGAGGTCAAAGGACAGCCTGGAGGAATAGATTCCCTCTGTCACCATGTGGGTCCCGGAACTGAACTCAGGCCTTGACAGCAGGTACCTTGGTTTTTTGCGGCAGAATCTCACTTGGAGCTTAGGCTGGTTCAAAGGAGATCTTTTGCTCTGACTCCACAGTGCTGGGATTACAGGCCTGGGACACCACACCTGGCAGTATTTTAATTTAAAAAAAGTTATTTCTTATTTGAATGTGTATGTGTGAGTGCCTACATGCTACATGCGTGTCTGTGCAACATGTTCATGTCTGGTGCCCTTGGAGGCCTGAAGAAGGCCTCAGATTCCTTGGAATTGGAGCTATAGACAGCTTTGAGTTGCCATATGGGTGCTGGGAATTGAACTTGGGTCCTCTGCAAGAGCAGTAAGTGCTCTTAACTGCTGAGCCATCTCCCAGGCCCCTGAGTACTTTAATTTTTTAAGAAGGAGAATGTATTCCTATATTATTTATGACCTTACAACCAATTTTAAAAACTCAATGTTCACCGGGGGCTTGAGAGAAGGAAGAGGGCAGGATTCTGAAGCGAATGGTGTGGAGTGGAAGACTGCTTTTCTCCCCCACAAGCCTGTGTTCAAGACCCGACCTTGACAACCTCAGGCCAGTCCCTTATCTCTGAGCCCCTAGCCATTTGCTTTGAAGTAGAGATGGCAATGACGATCTCCAGGGTCCTGGTGACATGGCAGGCCAGAGCAAAGGTGGGCGTTTAATCTCTCACACCCATTGTTGCTCTTTCGGCTTTTACCCCCCAAATATCTGAGCTCTCTTTGAGTGACAGGTGAGTTAAGGGCCTTGAGACTATGTCTGGTTCCAGCCAAGGACTTCTGCAAGGAAGCTGGGCTGGGTAAGTCAGAGACCCTGTCGGCAGAGGCCAGGAGGGAGTGCTACTTACTTCAGTGTTAGACCCTGGGGCTCCCAGGCAGAACTGGGAAGCACAGGTCACTTGAAAAGGGGTGGGAAGAGCTGTGGGGAAATTCAGAAAGCTGGTGTAAGCTCTGTAGAAGAGGAAAGGGCCATCTGGGTTTTGCAGTTTCAGGACAGCCTGTCTTGAAACAAACAAAAAACCAAAAAAATCCCAGGACAGCAAAAAAACAACCAACCAAACAAAAAAGTACTAAGAATTAAAAAAAAAAATGCATGCACTTGGCTTACAGGAACATATATGATGATTGCGTTAGGTGAGGGTGAGGAACTGGGATAAAAGAGAAAAGAATGAACCAGTGGAGTGCCTGGAGGGAGGGGAGGGGAGGTCGAGCCGATAGACAAATTTCTGTGCACATCGCGCCCTCTGTTGGACATGAGGGCTCCCAGCAAGGTCTTGGAACTCAAGTGCAACCTTGGCACCTTGACTGCCCATAGCGGCTGTGTGGGCTGCCCCACCCCACCCCTGTTTTCCCAGTAGCCAGAGCAGGGTTGGGAGTCGGCTGGGAACAGGGCAGTCTGAGGTGACCTGGCCATCAGGACTGCCACTGCCTCTTGTTCAGAGTCGCGGAGGGTTCCACAGGTTGGCCTGATCCCCACAGTGGGCAGCTGGGCTCCGAGGGGACGGAACCTGGAGCTCAGATTCCACATCTCCACACGCAGCCCTCCATTCTGGCAGGAAACGAAACATCTGGATCTTCAAAGGAGAAAGGGAGAAAAAGGAAGAAGGCACCAGGGTGTGGATGTAACCCCGAGGATACCATGGATCCTGATACCAGACTATCAGGCCGACAGTGGACAAGTCTGTCATGCCTTAGTTTCCCTCCTTGGAACATAGGAGCACCTCATAGGGATGTTGTCAAAGTAATGCACTTCTGATGCTGCACACCTGGCAGAGTGCTATCCTAGCATGCATGAGGCCCTGGGTTAGACCCCACCACCACATAAACCCAGCACAGTGGTGAATACCTGGGATCTCAGCATTTAGGGAGTGACAGGAGATTCCGAGGTTCAAAGTCATCCTTGGCTATGCAGTGAGTTTGAAGCCAGCCTGGGCCATAGGAAATCCACTCTAAGAAAAATAAAAGATTGGGGCTGGAGAATTGGCTCAGCAGTTAAGAGCACTGGCTATTCTTCCAGAGGCCCTGGGTTCAGTTCTCAGCACCCATATGGCAGCTCACAACTGTCTGTAACTCCAGTTCCAAGGGATTCAACACCCTCACACAGACATTCATGCAGTCAAAACACCAATGAACATGAAATAAATAAAATAAAATGAATATTAGAAAAATAAAAGAAAGCCCCCTTTGAGAGGGAAGGCTATCTAGATGGGCAGTGGTGGCACATGCCTTTAATCCCCAGCTCTTGGGAGGCAGAGGTAGGCAGATCTCTGAGTTCACGGCCAGCCTGGTCTACAGAGCGACTTTCAGGACAGCCAGGGCTACACAGAGAAACCTTGAAAAACAAAATGAACAAACGGGGTAGGGGGTGGGGCCGTCAGTCTGTGAGTGTCACCGCCCTTTTGTTCCTCCAGAGGATGGGACCGTGGGTGCTGGAGAGGACAGTGGTTATAGGAGCTGTGGTCAGGAAGTCGTAGGCTGCTGGGGTTCCTGGCAAAGACTTGGGCAAAGGGTTGAGGATGGCTGGCTAGGAATGGACTCTGTCCACAGATCCAGGTGAGGCTGGGAGGTGGGTGGAATGCAGAAGGGTGAGGTCCACCCCACTCTTAGGGTGTGGTCTTGGGTTCTACAAGAAAGTAGCAAGCCAGAAGGAGTAAGCCAGTAAGCAGCATCCCTCCATGGCCCATGCATCAGCTCCTGCCTCCAGGTTCCTGACCTGCTTAAGTTCCTGCCCTGACTTCCTTCAGTGATGGACTGTGGTGTGAAAGTGTAAGCCAATAAACCTTTCTCTCCAATTTGCTTTTGGTCATGGTGTTTCATCACAGCAGTAGTAATCTTAAGTAAGATGCCTTTGGTCTAAATTCTGTCCCCTCACCTGTTACAGCCTTCTTTTCTTGTTCCCAACCACTTAGATTCTTGCAACAGAGTCTTCTTCTTCTTCTTCTTCTTCTTCTTTCTTCTTCTTCTTCTTCTTCTTCTTCTTCTTCTTCTTCTTCTTCTTCTTCTTCTTCTTCTTCTTCTTCTTCTTTCCCCGAGACAGGGTTTCTCTGTGTAGCTTTGCGCCTTTCCTCAAACTCACCTGGTAGCCCAGGCTGGCCTCGAACTCACAGAGATCACCTGGCTCTGCCTCCCGAGTGCTGGGATTAAAGGCGTGCGCCACCACCGCCCGGCAAGGCAGGATTTTAAGTGGACCCTGAAGCCTTGTTCATACTCTCAGCATCTCCTGATCTGGAATAATCTGGTTAAACCCTAGAGACACAGAAAGGGTCTGGAGGGCACAGTGATCGCCATAGCTCTTTCTTGGGGCAGCGGGCTGGGCGGGGCCAGGCTGGGTGGGATCCACAATCTAGTGAAGCCTCCTCGAGTGCTCAGAGGGAAATTGCTCAGCTTTTCACTGGGCCGGGATTGGACATCGGCTTCTTGTGCTTGCACAGCGCTGAGCCAACTCCCCAGCCCTCAGGGAACCTGAAAAATCAGTTTCCTACTGAAGAAGACTGTTGGGCTTGGCCCCAGCTGCCAAGCCTGAACTGAGTTTCATCATCTCACGTGGTAGAAGGGGAACACCATCTCCTGCAAGTTGTCCTCTGACCTCCACACGCCACACATGACTACTTAGTATTTTACTCATGCATTTGTGGTGCTTGGGATTAAACCCAGGGCCTCAAGTACTAGGCAGGCCCTGTATCACCAAACCATATCCCAGCCTCCTTTTTGCTATCTATCTATCTATCTATCTATCTATCTATCTATCTATCTTGAGACAGGGTCTCTACATAGCTCTGGCTGTCCTGTAGACCAAGCTGGCGTCAAACCCACAGAGATCTGCTTGCCTCTGCCTCCTGAGTGCTAGGGCTAAAGGTGTGCACCACCACACCTGGCATTTTTTGCTTTTCACTTTGAGACAGGGTTTTGGGTAAGTTTCCAGGCTGACCTTGAACTTATGATCTTCTTGTTTTAGCTTCCTAAGTAGTGGAATTACTACTTAGGCTACTGGCTAAAATTATGACCATTTGAATAACAATGTATTTAATTATATATATATATATATATATATATATATATATATATATATATATATATATATATATATAAAATAATGAGATAATCCTTAGGAAGACCTGCTAGCATTCTTCACTAACATTTTGGGCTGGAGACAGGTGAAGACAAGGTGAAGTCTAGCTCTGGGGGGTTGGATGTGTGTACCTGGATATTTGTGTGCACACACATGTAGGGAAGAAAATGGTGCCAGGCTGGGGAGAGTGCCAGGAGATGGCTGGATGGCTCAGTGAGCTAAGAACTTGCCCCCAACCACGAGGACCGGACCACATCAATGCTGAGTAGGTGTGGAGGTCGCTCCCACAGTTCCAGCCCTGAAAAGCAGAACCAGGGAGTCCCAGGAGCAACCTGGCTAGTTAAGCTAGCCAGATTTTTAAGCTCTGAGTTTAGTTTTGAGACCCTGCCTCAGTGAATAAGGGGGAAGCGATTGAGGAAGATTTCTCACATCAGCCTTGGGCACACACATGCACAGACAAGTGAATACGCACACACGCGTGCACACCACACACAAATAGAAAAGAAAATATCACTGAAGCTGGCGAGATGCTAGAGCTGGGGTGCTGCTCATCCTGCATATTTCCTGCCTGGGTCTGGAGGTCTCGCACTTCCCTGGACCCTGAAGTCTCCACGAGTCAGTTGGTTTTCTCTGTGATAATGAACTCTACCGTGGGCAGGTCCTCAGAGAAGCAGGGTCGGTGCGGCTTGTGCTCACAGCGGCGTGTGGAGGCTCACACAGGTGAACTCCACTTGTTCTAAACATCAAGAGCAGGGGTGAGGACGGGATCAGGAGGGAGGAAGCCCACCCTGGCCGAGCCTTTCTTGGGATGAGAGACTTTTCATGTGGCTTTCTCATCAGTTAATTCGTTCACGTCTCCGACACAGTAGATGGATTCTTAGCACCTTCACCTGACAGGTAAGAAAACAGGCCCAGGAACTCACAGAGGTTTGCTGGAGGTCACACAGCCATGGAGGAACCTGCATTTCATCTCTAGATCTGCCTGGCGGCAAGGCCGACGCTTTTGTTTCTCCAGGATGCCAGGGCATAAAAATAAGAACGTTTAAAACAATGTGAGCTCCGTTTCCTTGACAGCACGGCATCCGCAGACTTGTTTATGGTTTATTCTGCTTCCCTCAAATGATGGCTGAGTGTGAGCTCCTGCAGCCCTGCCTTTAACTCTCTCTCTCTGTCTCTCTGTCTCTGTCTCTGTCTCTCTCTCCTGAAGAGATGGCTCAGAGGCGAAGCGCGCTGGTTGCTTTTGCAGAGGACCAAAAGTGGAGTCTTACAGCATCGTCTTCTGGCCTCCACCGGCACTAGGCACAAGGTACACACACATACATGTAGGCAAAACACTGACGTACACGCAAACATGTATTTTTAAAAACACTTGTAAAATCCACACAAAACATGTCGCTTAATTATTTTCAAAATGCTTAATTATTTCCAGTCATAGTTAGTACATTTGTGGTGGTTTGTGGATGTCACTGCCGCACCGTTCCAGTGTGGACATCACGGCTGCGCCCTTCCAGGGCTCACGAGGCAGTCAGCTTCCACCCCCTCCCCAGTGCTCCACTCCCAGCAGTCCCCAGTCTCCCTTCTGTCTCTGTGGATTTCCTCTTCTGGGATTTCATGTAAAGGGAACCAGAAGGCACATGGCTTTTTGTGTCCAGATCCTCCCTCCCCCCCTCTCCCACCCCCCCTCTCCCACCCCTTTCCTTTAATTTCTCCCCCCCTCTTCTTCTTTTGTAGATGAGGCTGGACTAGGACTCACAGAGACCTGCCTCTGCCTCCCAAGTTCTGGGATTAAAGGTGTGCACCACTACACCCGGCTCCATTTTCTTAAATTTAGTTTTTATTATAACGATCCTAGTCATTATGAAATGGTATCTCACTCTGTGTGTGTGTGTGTTTAGATTTGTTTTATTTTTAGTTATGTATCTGTGTGTGGGTAAATGCACATGTGTGCAGGTGCCCTGGGAAGCCAGAAGAGGGAGTCAAGTCCTTTAGAGCTGGAGTTACCGGCAGTTGTGAGCGACCGGCAGTTGTGAGCGACCTGATGTAAGTGCTGGGAATCAGAACTCTGGTCCTTTGCAAGAAGCAGTACATACTTTTAACCACTGGGCCATTTCTCTTGCCCCTCATCATAGCTTTATTTTATATTTATTAATTTACTTATTTATTTTTGAGAAAGAGTCTCACCATTTTAGCCCTGGCTGGCCTGGAACTCAATATGTAGACTAGACAGGACTTGAACTCAAAGATCCACTTGCCTTTGCCTCCCAAGTACTAAGATTAAAGGCTTGCGTCACCATGCCCAGCCCCCTCACTGTGGTTTTAATTTGCATCTGCTGAGGACTACTCCTCCATCATCTTTGCCCTTATGCAAAGCAGGTCCCCCACTCATGCCTCAGTTTCCTCCTCTCTAAATTGGTGCTACACAGGACCGTGGGAGACTTAAATGAGTAGATCCTGGGAAGGATTTAGCATCACATCCATCGGACACACAGCAGGGCTCCCAAGACAAGTTTAATGGCCCTAGCTCTTGTGAGGTCCTGCTGGAGGCTGGCAGCGCCTGCTGGAGGCTGGTCCTGGCTCTGACCAGCGAGCGTCCAGCAGCCTAAGTTAGAGGAGCTCCTCTTTGCTCGGCGAACCGTCCTCTTCCAGGAGCACGCGGGATGCCACAGGGAGCGTCTGCATTCAGACATCGGGCTGACATTTAGGAGGGCAGTAGACCTCCCCAACCTCCCTTCCGTTTCTATCCACGCTCCTCCTCTGCCTTCCTCCCGAGAGCTCTTCAGACTACTCAGCTACTGCCGCGTAGTGGGCAGTCTTGGAAGTGCATCCTTCCCAGGCTGGGCTGCAGGAAGTCGCCTGAGGTCCCTTCCCTTCTGCCTTGCTTGGAGTGGGGACAGCCCTGAGACATAGCTTACACCCTAAGGTCGCCACGGGATCTGCAACTGCACCCTGACGGCCTCTCCCTTCCAGATTTTCCCAGGAGCACCCCCAAGATCACAAAGCCAAGCATGCTCAGTTCAGAGTCTGCTTCTCGGGATCTGGCACAAGACGAAGAGCACCCACTGTGTGTCGCACTTTGTGCAAAACGCTGAGACAGACAGAAGGACGAGTTGCCATTCCTTCTGCATCGGGCCTCGGCTGGGCTGATCCAAAGCAGCCCTAGTACCAGTAGGCTGCGTTGCCCTCACTGTGCGCAGGCGCAAGGCTGTATGTACACTTGCGGTACATGACTTTCTTTGAACCACGAAACAGCCCTTTAACAGAAAACTAAAGCCCCTCGAGGTCAATATTTTGTTGAGGGTTGCACGGCCTGGAGGTGGAGGCACCCACCAGTGCTCCTTTATAACGCCTCCTCGAGGTAGAGGGCCACACACAGATGCACCAGCCGAGGCATGCAGCAGAGGAGAGGGTTGCTCTCCCGGCCACTACGGGACTGGTAGACGGGGCTCTCACCGGTGCTGTGTCGTTGGTCTTGGCAAATTCCCGTGAATGACTGAAGAGGAAAAGCGGGCCTGGAGAGAGGGCTCAGTAGTTAAGACGGCTCGATGCCCCCCCAGTTTGGTTCCCAACCTCCGTGTCAGGACTCACAACTGCCTGTAATTTCAGCTCCAGGGGACCTAACACCCTCTTCCGGCCTCCGGGGGCACCTCCACCCCCCTGCCTCCCGAAAGAGGGGAGGGCAGGCTGCCGGATGTCAAAAAGGGCAGGCCCCTGTTAGAAGACGGCCTCGAAGGTTTCATAATGAAACCCCACCCTCACCTTGTCTGCCCCCGCCGCTGAGCTCCCCTGGGCAGACAAGGTGAGGGTGTCCCAGGCTGTCCTGGGGGCACCACCACTACCCCTT